TAGATGTGATGGGAATTTGGAGATGAAAGTGAAGACACAACAGCAAATAAACACACTAATTCAAAACAGATTTAGTGGGATGGCAGCTGTACATAATTTGGATAGTCATCAAGGAGGTAGAATCCTCATTTTGTGGAACAAAGACACAGTGGATCTTGAAGTAAAGAGCAGCCATGCACAGGTAATACATTGTTTGATTCAATGCAAGGTAACTGGTCAAAAACTGCATTGTAGTATGGTGTATGGGCTGTACTCAGTGAGAAGTAGAAGAGAACTATGGGATTCAATAGAGAATTATGGTGAGAATATGACAGAACCTTGGTTGGTGATGGGTGATTTCAATTGTGTGATGAGCCCAGAAGAGAAGACAGGAGGCAATATACCTACAAATTATGAGCTAAAAGACTTCAATGAAACAGTATTGGGGCTAGGAGTGGAGGACATACCTTACACAGGCACCTTCTTCACTTGGTCAAATTCTGCAGTTGATAACACAATATGGAGCAAGCTGGACAGAGCCATGGTAAATAGTGCATGGTATGATCAGATGCCAGTAACAAAGGCTGATTTTCAAGCCCCTGGCCCTATATCAGATCATTCACCATGTATAGTTACTATACACAGAGAAAGTAACAAAGGACAGACTCCTTTCAGATTTTTCAATATGTGGACTAAGCATGAAGAGTTTCAGAACATAGTGCAGGAAAAATGGAAGTTTGAAGGGTATGGAACTGACCAGTTCAAACTGTGTAAGATGCTGAAAGGGTTGAAAAGACCCCTAAAGGAGCTAAATAGGGCTGCATTCAGTCACATAACTGCTAGGGCTGAGAGGGCAGCAAAAGAAGTGGAAGATCTACAGATTCAGCTACAAGCAGATCTGGAAAATCAGGGGCTAAAAGAGAGCATAAAACAGAAAAAGAAGACTGCTAATTTTCTGATGGAAGCTGAAAGGCAATTCCTAACTCAAAAGGCTAAATGTAATTATGCCTTACATGCTGATAAAACAAATAAATTCTTTCATAACATTGTGAAGAGAAGAAGCAAGAAAAACTTCATTGCTGCTGTATACAAGGAAAATGGTCAGAAAACAGAATCTGAGGAAGAGATGATAAATGAATTCCTTAATTTTTATAAGGACTTGCTGGGTACAGAGGAGGTGTGTGCACCTTTGGATGCTACTGTGGTAGAGTCAGGGCCAGTTTTGAATGAAGAAGAAGGGCAGGAATTGATAGCAGAAGTTACAGAGGCAGAAATAAAGGAGC